CGACATTTTTGCAAAGGAAATTGTTGTTCAGAATCGTCTCAGCTACCCTCCATTTCCGGCTCCTCCCCGACTTTTGGGACACCCTGTATATAATAGAATTATATAATTACTATACAAGACTTCACTTTTTACAAGAGCTTTACGTACTGATCGGAGAGGTTTTCGCGATTAAAACGAGCCCAAACACGATCTCGTTTCGATCACTTTGTATTTTAATCCCTCTGAATCACTTTGTTAAAACTCGAAAGATGTCCAATTAAAAATACTCCGAATACGGCCATGTTTCTACTCATTTTTACCAGAAAGACCTCAGTAACCCATTGAAAACACTTTAAAGGCGTATCTTGAATTAAGAGGTCTAAAAAAAGCGTTTTTTCGTGAATTTTTTTAGGATGGAAAAAAAAATTAATTCTATCGAACTTTTTATCCCATTTTCATGCATATTTGAGTAGTCTGTAGAAATTTTTTCAACGAGAAATATTCAAATTGACTCGACTGTGACGCACATTCGTAGAGCACCTCACGATTAAAACCTCCTATCGGCGGGAAAGATGCAGATCGTAATTTTGGTTTCTCGTACGTTTTTCTTCTATGTGAACTAAGAAAAATCCGCAAAAACGGTGAAATGTGAAGTTACTGCAAATTTGAAAAAAAGAACGAGTTCTTTGGGTGAAAAAAAATCACTAACTTGATAAAGAAGTTGGTAAGCATTTTTTTTGTATGAAATTTTTAGTTCACATAGAAGAAAAATGTATGAAAATGAAAATTTCTTTTGTTTTTTTTTGTGTCAAACCAAAATTACGATCTGCATCTTTCCTGCCAATAGGTGGTTTCAATTGCGAGGTGCGCTACAAACGTGCGTCACAGTCGACTCAATTTGAATATTTCTTGTTGAACAAATTTCTACAGACTGCTCAAATATGCATGAAAATGGGATAAAAAGTTCGATAGAATTAATAATTTTTTTCCATCCTAAAAAAAATTCACGAAAAACCACTTCTTTTAGACCTCCTAATTCAGGATACCCCCTTAGAGAAGATCCCATGAAAATGACAAAAATTCCAATTTCTACTGACGAGTAGAATTCTTTCTCGTGCTTTTAAGAATCGCGTTACATGAGTGATGGGAACGATTCCATTAATTTAGATCTGGAGTTACCACTTATTTTTGCGACGTGTGTAATGAACGGTTAACAAAGACTGAAACTTTATATGGAACAGTGGAACGTTGCCTCCATTCTGAGGAAATCTGTAACGAGGCTGAGACGAGGAGAGAAGAAAGTGCCAGGGAGGGTGGGTGGTTGCGATATGACAACGGAGGGGACAAGCAAACAAGTCCATGTCGATCACAGGACAGATATCGGTCGTCTGGATTCGTGTCCCTTTTCCCGTTCTCCCTTTCTTCTTATCGTGTTGCGCCAACGAATCGCAGATATTGATCTACGGTGCAGCCTCGCCTTCGTTCGGTCGATACGTTTCTGCGATGATTTCTAGGTTCGTCTTTCGGACTTCCGCATTGACTCAAGGTCCTTCTTTTTTTTTTTTTTTTATTACTTCGCGGTTCTCTTTGGACGTACAATTCGGTATCGAAGCAATATCTCCCGGTTTCGAGAGCTAATTTTTACCCCGGATAGAAGCAACGGGCTCGTCCCCCCTCGCTGTTTATATTTATTCGACGCAAATGACGAGATGGGTGGATGTATAGATATTTATTGACTCGAGATAACGAGGTTAGGTTTTTATAACGGCACTTTACTTAGTTATACTTTGCCTGTTTGCACTTTTGTTTCGTTTCTTTTTACGTCGCGTATCCGCTTTGTTTCTCTTCCTTATTATGCTCATTTTGTAAACAGGTTGTTCTATAAAGAGGCGAAATAAACGAAAAATGAATAAAATATGCTCCACGTACGTGGTTTTTCAGCTGTAGCTTACGGTATACATTTAAGTGGTATAAATCGAGGCTGATAAAGAAATCGAGGAGGAAAAAGGTATACTTCCACTAGTGAAAACAGAATCTTTTCTATTTGACATCGAGCCTGCATTGAATTATTAGAGGGCTAATAGCCTCATTAGCGAGCTTTTCCCGATTGAAAGGAATCCAACACGAGCCTATTTCGGATTAATTAGGGAACAAATATTCGAATCAAATTCTGACATTTTCTGTTCCATTCGAATTAAACATTCGCTCCTACGCCTATTTGCAAGTGAATTAACGTTCATTGAATTTACGTTCCATTTCGACAGCCGGAGCTGTTTACTCTGCATTGTTTTCGAAATTTATCGAAGACAATCTTGGAAAACCGTTTGTTCGCAGAAAGGATAATCTCGTTACTGGTCTGTCGAGGTACGGCTTCCGGCAGTCCGTATCTCATCTGTTTCCACCCTCGACGCACAGTTGTAACTGCGGAGAAATTAATCTCTGAAAGGCATTCGAACTCCGTTTCGAACATTGCCTTTTCTTATTATGTCACGCTATTCGACTAATTTAATATTCTTATATTTTATTAGTCAATGGGATTGAAATGGCGCGAATGAACTTCGGATATCATTATTTAAACTGTAGAAGACGGTACTTGATATTTTGCTATTCATTTTATACGTACGATACATTTTATAAACCTGTTTCAACGATCCACTGATCATACTCGATCTCATTTTATTTTACTTATCGGTATTTCTTTTTGTTTTACTTCTTTTTATAGATAATGTTAAAATTCTCGAGCTTACGTTTGAATTTCAGGTTACATTTAACGATAAATTAATACAGTTTACGTTATGAAACGTAAAATATCTTCGCGCTTTGAAACGTACATTTAACGTACTCTGCTTTCAATATTTTCTTCGTTTCACTTTAATATTAATTTAAATATTCGCGTTTTAATTCGTGCTGCCGTCGTTATCGCGCCGGAGGATTTTGAAATCGTGGCGTATGTACGCGTGGCGTATATAGCAACGAGTCCAGCGTGTCTTTATAACTTATTAATGTTATGGTTCAAGGAACACAACATTCGTGCCCGTGGCCTTACACCGTTTTCATAATAAATGCTCCTTCCATTCTGTTCACCAACTGAATTTCATTCAGCGCGATGGGATGGAAATTTCAGCTCGCGGACATTCAAACATTTCTACAGGTGAAATCAACAGGTTTTTAGAAACCAAACGAGTACCCTCTATTAAAGAGAGCATTAATAATTCCTTAAATAAATACCGTCATCGACGATTCATTCAATTTTGTCGAAGATGAAGTCCCTCTAACGAGCCACCTTCTCTTTTGTTGCAGAGGTCAAAATGGAATTGGAGGACCTGATGTCCGACATCAAGAAAACGGCCAACAAAGTCAGGGCTAAATTAAAGGGTAAGCAAATCGAAAACGATTTATAATTACCACCCTAATTGAATAAAATAGCTAAAGTATCTATCTACGCACATAGAATGCCTATGGGAGTATCGAGCTACGTATCCACAGAACACCTTGTACGTGTTTTTACAATTTTCATCTGCTCTTCAGCAGGGCTGAGCAGTATCGTTTCAGGGCAAGCACGCAAACTAACGGCGCCACTAGACCATTCGTTGAAATGATCGTGGTATTCAGCCCTGTTCTAAAGTATCCCTCTCAGAAGCATCAAACAACATTCCATTTTTATTATCGCAGTGTTATAATTAATTCGATTTAATAAAATTGTATATATGCGGTTTTTAAACGTTGGTTAGGAACTATATTAGAATTATGTGAAATTACAACTTGAAAGACTACAACTTAAAGCCACTACCGCGTCTTAACGACTTTTTATTCTAACGGGTCACGACAACTTGACTGTAGAGCGCGTCTCAGCTTAACTGCCCTTTCGACCGGAACCTCCCCTTCATGAAACCTTACGTTCTCCCACCACGCAAACTTTGTCTAGGCGCGTTCATGCCCAAATATGGGCATATTCGTCGTCGCCCTTGCTTCGCACCACCGCGAACTTCTCGCTGGGTCCGCTGGTCCGTGGGTTTTTCCCATCCCTTGCTACCTGGAGGTCGCTTTCTCCCTCGCAACGTTTCCGTATAGTTTTCCGATACTACATTATTTATATTCGTATCGTTTTCCACCACCTATTACGAGCCTTAATAAATACCTAATAAATACCCAAGCGATAATTTGTTTCGACGAATCGGACGAGATCATTGCACCAGAGGGTCGAGAACGATGTCTTACGTAGTCGTGAGAATGCTCATAGGTGTTCTACGCTCGATTCATCCCTAGCGTGTACACTAGCTCGTACCACGCGACACAGTTTCAACATTGACAATTCGTTTCTTGGTGCGCAGTGATAGAGCAAAATATCGAGCAAGAAGAGCACACGAACAAATCGTCGGCGGATCTGAGGATACGCAAGACACAGCACTCGACGCTGTCCAGGAAGTTCGTCGAGGTGATGACAGAGTACAATCGAACGCAGACCGATTACAGAGAGCGGTGTAAGGGAAGGATACAACGACAGCTGGAAATCAGTAAGCGTGGCCCTAAGCGTTCAGGCTAATCCCATTTCGTATGCGTGAGAGCGCGTCAACGCACTCTTACCACTCTAATACCGTCTAACCGATCGATTTCGCCGCTTGCAGCGGGGAGAACGACCACTAACGAGGAACTAGAGGAAATGTTGGAACAGGGAAATCCGGCTGTGTTCACGCAAGGGGTAAGAAATGCCCTTTCGACTCTCCGTTTGCGAGCCGCCGACCTGGAAAGATCAGTCTTGGGTTAAGGGTGAATGTGTCACCGCGAGCTAGAGAATTCAGGACTGCTGAGTCATTTTTACTTTGAGGGATGGCCTACGACCTGGGCGAGCACTTTGCGAACGGGCCAGCCGCAAATTGTACCATTTGTAGAGATGGAAGTAGCCCAGTGACGTCTCCATTGTTAGGTTACGTCGCTGTAAATATATAGTCAAGAAATAGGGGTTCATTCCTCCCAGAACTGGTCTTTCCTTTTTTTTTTCATATATACATGTTGCGTTGTCGAAGAAATAATGTTTGGAAACAAATTAACTGAGATTTGTTTCGTGTAGATTATCATGGAAACGCAACAAGCGAAACAGACCCTCGCTGACATCGAGGCTCGCCACGCCGATATTATCAAACTAGAGAACTCGATTAGGGAACTTCACGACATGTTCATGGACATGGCCATGTTGGTAGAAAGTCAGGTAAGGTCGACGATGCTTCAAAACTATCAAACTATCGGGTAACGTGTGTAAGATGAGTGCCCGTCCGTCTAATGCTGCTAATAGCTTCCAAAATCGATTACAGATCCTGATTACAGGTCCTGATCATTCGTTTCCAATAACTTATGGTACATTTTTAAACTAACTATAAACGTTTTGATTTCGTATACTTTATGTCCACTTTTCGCCAAATTTACGTTTTTCTACGTTGCCAAGAATTACGTTGCTTTCGCACACCAATGTACGTTAAATAAAACCTTATTTTCTCGTTTGCTCCGAGTTCGATTAAACGATAATTGCACGAGAGTCGCGTCTTAATTAAACTCGTATGAAAAGGTGCAAATTGAACGCAACTATTAGAAATATTTCAACATTTTATTTGTAATTTTCATTTGCTCCCAAGTAGTTTAATTAAAATTTCCACTTTCTACGATACATGTTAATTAGCAGTAGTAAAAAGGAATTAGTTTTCAGGAATAGCAAGAAAATTCATTTAAAAAAAAAAATGTATAGATCACATGCATGTACTAAAGGGGATCTGAGTCAAAACGTTTATTGTTTTCTTGTTTAAGGAAATAGTGCATTTGCGCAGTACATATTTTTTTATATCCCCGATATATACCCAAACCAAGTATTTCCGTGATGCAAATATTATCTTTATGGCGTACCATTACGAGACCAATGAATTAGTAGCACCAACAGCAGTAAATATTAACAGTGATAGCACGCTATCGATAACGATTTTCGTACGATACACGGGACCATGCTTGATATTGAAAATAAGCACGTTGGTTGATCGAAAGGACCGCCCTATAATTGCTGCCAATATTCTAAAATGTGCCCTGAGATTAAAAAAGCTAAGCACCGCTGGTCTAATAGATCGCTATCGTTCCTATGGCAGTAGCTACTTCAGGAACTCGGAGAGAAACACGTTGATTAAAAGAAACGTTTCCGGTTCCAAGAAGCGCATTTGACGGTTAGAGTTGCAGTCGGACGGACGGGCTAGATTATCAGCAACGTAGAATCGAGCCAACGTTTTCTGTTTCCCGTTAATTCGAAGTCACCTTTACTGGGGCACGATTTCCTTCTCCATGCCCACAGTTGATGACACGGATTCTATCCTCTTGAACGTTTCGATCGAATCAAACATTTCATTCCAAACGTTGAAAGTTTCCGACTCTAGGATTTAACCCTTTGCGGTCCCATGTCGAGTGAGACTCGACAGAACTCTGGATCTGAGTATCTGGATCGATTAATTTATTTCTCAAAAATATTTCCAATGCATACGTATACAGGCTGTTTCGTTTAAAAGCGGTATGATTATCCCACAAAGAGACGAAGATACCTATTGGAAATATAGCCGGTGGAACGAATTTTAGACAAATTTTATTATCGTTTGACTTTAAAACTTTATTCAATAACGCATGGAAGAAGCTCGAATGAAAGAACGCGAGGTCACGTTCAGAAGAATTTCGTTACCGAACTATAGATCCTATCGGTCCCATACTTTGTCTAAACAAGCCAACATGGGACGTAGCTGCACCCTCTCGACTTGTGTCTAGGAACGAAACCCAAACGCGCATTGATGGTTTTTGTTACGAAAACTTTCTCTTTTAGAGAAGAGAAAATCCAACAATACCAAACAAATATTTTTACAAAAGTTACTTGGCACAAAGAGGGAGGAGTGGGGGGGGGGGTGGCATTATGAAACACCCTGTATATGTTATACTCCTCGAAGAGGCGTCGACGTTAATCGTCACCCAAGCTTACATTTGGCTGAAACTAACAATAACATTTCTTCCCCTATTACGCTGTGTGGATTCGTCCACCCACCTTAGGGCGAGATGATAGATCGCATAGAGTACCATGTGGAGCACGCGGTGGACTACGTGCAAACGGCAACGCAGGACACCAAAAAAGCACTCAAGTATCAAAGCAAAGCCCGACGGGTGAGTCCATCCCAGATCATCGCGCGAACCCACCGACCTTTCGCCTCTAATTGGTCACTTTTTGTTTCTCCTCTCGATCCTTGCTCCTCTCGATCACGACCTCTCTCAACTCTGCCCCTCGTTCTCGTATCCGGCTGACTCGTTCAGCTCTCCTCCGTCTGGTACCATTTTTTCACACCCGCCGTTCCCTGACCTCTCACGCTTTTTGGTTTACTACTAATTCGCTCTCCTCTATCTATGTGCGTGTCACAACTTTCTACCGCGGCGCGACATCTAACAACGACTACGCTTTCTTTCGTACTCGATCAAATTATTTATCGCTCGTACGATCGAATCGCTGCTCGCATATACGTGTTTGTATGTATGCATACGCGTACAGCCGAGGGAATGGCAGCCATTTTAGTGTAAATCGGTTGGTTATACTGAGAATCTTTCTCTTTCGGTGAACTGGCGTGTCCGTACCACAAAGGCAAGCTACGTTTGCCAGACAAATAAAATTTCGGATAAATATGTAAGAAATAATATCGAGTACAATATCCTGAGTCGCGAAGCATCTGAATCTCCTTTCATCTCATTTTTGAGATACGTGAAATGATGTTTATCGTGTAGAGCGACCTTGCGTTGCAAACTATCGTGCATATTTACAATGAAAGTAGCAAAACGAGCCTCGAGCTGTTAAAAGTGTCGAATTACGTACGACGTACAATTAGCGTAGTTTGCCACTGAGGTGCAGCCAGCATCTGCACTCTGAAGTCGACGTTTTAAGAAACTTGACTTACACGAGTATGGCTTTGACCTCTCTACATGCATATACGTGTATCAACATACACACATATGCGTGTATTTATGTATGTATGATGTATGTATTATATTCGCGTCCACACTGACATATGTACACACCCTCACACATAAACACACATCTATCGACTTGTTTATACTCATTTACTTGATCCGTACTATGTCGTTTGTATACATGCATCATTGTATACATATATATATATATATATATATGTATATATATATGTATATATATATATATATATGTATGTGTCTCTCTACTTGTGTCGCTATGTCCTGTTGAACATCAGTGTGCTAATTGTGCCTCTGTCCATGAACTGTGTGTCTATTCGTACTACTAAAACTCTGCGTTACTAATCTATGCTCTCTAACTGACTAATTTGCGACTACGATCTGGTTGTATCGTCGATAACGGCGGACGATACAGATCTGTCTGGAATTTAGCCTGGTGTTTCTGCTTGAGGTTGATGAGACGCGTTGCGTGCGCAATAAGGTGTGGCGCGGTGTGGCTTGATATACATGATATGTTTATACCTCTCTCTACCGTCTACGTGTGTACCTATATGTATATATGTATGTGAACGTATATACATACACGCACAACGAATACATGTCTACACGTAATTTTGGGTGCATCCTCGGAGGCGACCAAGGGTTACCGATGCGTAGTGATGGGAATGATATCGATACGACACTATCGATGAACCGCACACTCCTATCAGCTAATATCGAACAGTATGGATACATGTTTGACGGTTCAACGAAAGTCTTTGACTCGTATTGCATCATTGAATCGTTTCATCGTTGAAGTGTACAATTGTACACTTAGGTTACGAACGTTTAGGTTCGTGGAAACTTTTGGGAGACGCTGACGTCACCAGCGAAGAAACGAATCACCCAAACGTCGCTTGTACGTAAATTAGACACGTAAAAGACTATATTCCATTGTTACACAATGCGGGTCGTAGGAATAATGTGCGCGTTTTTGTCGGGACCATACACGAAACGCACACCTCGCTTTTGCAATCTGCATCGTGTAGTATTCAACGACGCGGTAGTTTTCTGCGCATCTACCTTGCGCACAAGTGGCTTTAGATGATTAATTTCTTCGTTAGTGGAGAGTTAGTGTCACTGCTCACTGTAGTGCTAAGCTTATGATCGATGAATCAACCATTGGCGATGTGACGTTCTATGAATCGTTCTATACGTAACTTGTTCACTCTGATTAGATTTGTTGTTGGTTCGTCTTTGTTAGGAGGAATACAATGTCTTGCTAATAATTTGATTCAGAGTGTATTTCTAGGCACTTGTTACATATATTTATTTACACCGATACATTCACGACGAACGTGCAATACCAGTACTATGAAATTGGTATTAATGGTATAACACATCAATAGGGAACGAAGTCTGATTATTAGAAAGTAAGCAATTGAAATTGATACAACGTAAAGTAATTACTTTTATCGATTGAATTTTCTTTGATTCATTCAGAATAGCGTCGATGTCTGCTGGATATTATACGGAATTGGT